TGATCTGCGTCCTCCGGAGGCTCATCGGCGGACGGACCGCGGTCGTCTCGCCACAATATAAGCGCCAGGTCACGTCTCAGTTTTATTTAACTCGTTATTGGCAACATTCGCAGCACGCGGGCTCCAAACGGGTCAAGACCGTTGCAAATAAAGGCCTTGCAGTTAAAAGGCAGGAACTCGTAATGGCTGCAAATAAGTTCGGGGCCACAGAACCACGATCCAATGCAGACTTTAAACTTTGACATTAAAATAACAAGTACGTGTTGAGCCAAAAGGAAAGAAATTCAGGTTTAACCAATCTAATTTTTACATGTTAAATTTACGAAAAATTCGATGCCACAAATTGTGAGTTTATCTTGAATTAAAAATAATTGAGAAGAAGTGCAAATTTGCAAATAATTAAACTATTGCAACCTTTTCGCATCCTTTGTTTCTAAGGAAGTTTTTCACGCTTCTTATTGTTAGTGTTGTAGGAAGTTTTAATTAAATTTTACGTATCACAACAATCACATTAGATTTGATTGATTCTTGAGCTCACCGAATAAGTGAATGAAAATTTGTTCCGATCAAAAGCTTTGAGAAAGACCAAAAATTGTTTATAATACCTTCTAAGCGCCAATCTTAATTGAAAATTGATTTTTGAAACCATGATTAAGAATTTCATGAAAAATATTCCAACTTTTCATCACGTCATACTGAATTAAATCTAAATTTACTAAAATTTGCGGTAAATTAATTTTTAATTAAAATATTTTTTTAATAATTTTTAACTTGAAAATTGTGAACAAAATTTGGTCCAAAAGACATGAAATTTTAACAAATCCGTTTTCCTTCCCCGTGTGCAACCATTGGAAAATTTTACTCGCAGATCGATAAAAAGCAATTGGCAAGCATCAATCTCGCTTTTGCACATGGTCCATTTTTCAGGGGGTCATGTCCGGATGGATGGTAGGCATATGGAGCGCAGTGGGGCGCCGCTATTGATCCCCAGCAACAGCATCTGCATGCCCCACAGACCGCACACATTCACACACGACGGGTCACTCGGTGAATGCACGGCGAGGGTAGGTACAAAGATCCTCCTTGTGTACACAGACACGGGGTGCAGGAGGCGGCAGGGTGCGATTTCGGAAGCCACAGTTGGCTCGGCGGTCGAGTGCAATGTTTTGCTCGCGCTCCCGCCCGCGCCACTACCCGGGCGCAACAGCTTAATGAATTTTCCGAATCACACCTCGGCGCTCGCCAGTTATGCAGCACACTGTTTATTAAGCTGGCGAACGAACGAACGAAAGCAGGAGGCAATTTGTTTGGGCGACACACACAAACTTCTCCCTCACCGGCCCCGCGTGCTTAATCGATAAAGGGCGCGCTCTCTGCCGAAACAAAAAGTTGCCCAGTTTATGAGAGATGGTCGGATAGGAGGACGGACGGAAGACAAGCAAGTGGCAAAAAGTGTTTGCACGTTTGTAGTGAGGAAGGCGGGCTGAGTTTGATTCCGTGTCTAGTGAGAGAGAAAGAAAGAGACAAAACACGGCGGCGGGCCAGAAGCCGATATGCCTGCACGGCTCTTGGCACACACGCTGGAAGCCAGAAAAAATAAAGAACGCAACCGACATTTTTGCATTAGGGCCTCTAGGAAAGAGCAGAGAGCACGCACACGTACACACGGGCAAAAAGCTGCTGAAACAAAAGAGCCTTTTAACACACAGCGACGGATTGATTTTCCATTCATTGTTGGCGCGCGCGGGCGAGCGAAAGAAAGAAAGAAAGAAAGAAAGGACGGACGGACCGACGGACGAGAGAGGAAAAAAGAGGCGAAAAGGGCCCATTTGATACCGGCCGACCGAGAAGGAAGCCTGTTTTATTTTTTAAAAATAATGAAAAACTCGGAAAATTGTTCTTTATGAAGCGTCCACTTCAGTTGGTAGGAACAAAGGTGCAAGTTGGATTGTCATTGAGGGCAAAAATTCAAAAATTCAAAATGAGATAGAGGGATAAAGAATAAACCCTCTCAGTGCTGCTCTATTTTACCTAAACGGCCCTCAAAAATTTTGAGAATAAATTTGATTGTTTGTCACTGTCAGTATATAAACAAATTTTCTTTTACACTATTGACAATGATCAAGCTACCTCCTAGGTTTGATAAAGTCTCTGGCCAACAATCCTTTCAGCTCGATTTGTTGTTGTGCCACTTTTCGTAAATGACATAGGAACAAAAATTGTTTCCACTGTTGAAGTAAAGAAACTTATATAAGCTTATTCTGAATAACCGCTTGGCGAACCACTGACCCTTTTTCAGGGTCACCTGGCAGGTCGAGAGAGAGCAAAATTGTATACCTCAGAGCCTCCGTTGGCGTAGCGGAAGCGATGGGGGCTGTGGATGGGGCAGCGGTTGGTGTACGAGTCGAGGCTAGAGGTGCCCATGACGGAGGCGGCGCGGTGGTGGTGAAAGGGCGCCTGCTGCTGCTGGTGGTGCAGGTCCTGGTGCGACCATCGGGATGGGGTGACGGGTGTGGCGGGTGTCGAGCCGTGCCAGGCGGTGTGCTGGCGGCAGTGCCTGTGATGCCCATGCCGGGGCGCGAAAGGGCTCTGCTTTACAGGGGGGTGGTGGTGGTGGTGCAAGCCGTAATGGTGCTCCAGCGTGCGGCCGGTTAGAACATCCCTGCTCGCGGCCACGGCACTGACTGGGACACTCGCCAGCTCGCCTCAGCACAAAATGGCTCCTGATCTCCGCGCGTCGCCATGGCAACCCCACGGCGCAGATAATCGTTATACACCTTACCGCCGAACCGACACACACACGCGCCCCTTCCTCTGGCAGTCCTGCGCCCTCCGACCGACCCTGTCGAGACCCTCTTTCCTTTTTCTTTGCTCCTTCGCTAGGGTGTGTTGCTCCGCTCTCGCTCGCTCGCGACTGAAGAGGCACCCCACACGGAGAGGAGCTCGCTCGGTGGGGCTGCGCGCGGCCAGCGATTTTTCTTTCCGCTCGTCTTTTCCGCAGGGCCTTCCCGCAGTTTCTGTTTGCTTAATTTTCCCCTGATGCACCCCGTGCATTGAAACCTTCTTTTATTTCCTTCCTTCCTCTCGCTCGTCTCTCTCTCTTACTTACTCGAACGAAAAGTTTTTCACGTAAATTTGTGCAGCAGCTTGCCAAACTCTCTCAATTGGCCTCTCTTCTCCCTCGGAAGCTTAGCACGCGTATCTTAATTAGGAAAATCGTGTTATTTTGCGCATGGCTGCGGCACGTCAAAAACTCATATGCAGTATTTTAAGCCGCTTTCTCTCTCTTCCTGCTTTTGGTTTGCGAAATTCACAAGTTTCAGCCGAAATGTTGCGAATTTTACGACTCCCTCGCTTCCTCAGTTTCAATAAACAATGGAGGCGAGTCGAACACAATCGGCGTTCAGGGACGGACTTGTTATGCTGGCTGAAAGATACTGAAGTTTTGTTTATCTTGGTGAAATTTTCATTTTCGTTTGAATAACAAAACCAGCAACATAATTTTTTGAATAGGAGAAAAATCCTTGAAAGCAATAAAATAAATACTAATAAACAATGAATTTATAATTTTTTGTATATCTTCAGACTTATAATATTTTGTTACAAAATACAATTTTTTTATATTATGGAGTTAAATTTAATACTTTTAAATGTTATCTCTGCCATGAAATTTTCACTTCTGTTTAAATTACAGTACAAACCAAATTTTATCAGACAGAAACGTGTTGAGAATGAAATGCGAATATTTAGTTAAATTGATAAAAACAAAAATAAAGTTTCCTATTAGTGAGAGCTTGTTTCGAAGCAAAACACTTACATAATTATCAATTCTCTTTCACGAGGAAAAAAAATAATAAATCGCTTGTTCAAAAGTAACGCTCCTCTCCAACAAACTCATTGAGCGAAATCAAATATACACAAATAAATCACATCGGGCAAAGAGGGCGCCTCGTCAGAGAGCATTAACTTATTTTCGTTTCTTCCGCACTCTTGGATTATAGGCAATTTCCTGAAAGTCAAAGTGTGTCTTTGACTCGGTTCCAAGAAACTTATCGGAAATTGGCCGGCGCCGAAAATATCCGCAGAAAGGGTCCAGGTGGCGCCGCAGCAAACAGCGGCGGCGCCCCTGAGGAGCGGCGACCGGTCCGCAAGGGCGGCCGAGTCGGACTAACGAAGTGGGTCAAGGCGTGCTTGGAAGCAGGCAGGCGCTGCGTAAGGAGTGGCACACACCAATCGATCTGCTCTGGTGGTACATGGCGAGATCAATAAAGAGGCTGCAGCCTCACCCTCGCGACTCGCACACTGCCCTCTTAAGCTTTCCCTCTCGTTTTCCCCTTTACTACCTGCGATACACACAAGACCTTGCCTATTCACACGCAGTCATAAGGCCACTGAGCTCAACAGCTTCTTCTGCCGCCGAGAGGTCTCAATATTGCCGCTGCGATTAAAATCTTGCACTCGGAGCCGGATGACTCCAATGACCCCAACGAGCACTCCTTCGCCCCGATCCGGCGGCAGATTTATGACTCGCTGGACACATGTGCGCCAATTATATACTTCGGTTTTGTTATTGCTTCTATTTTTTTTCTCGCACAGAGGAGTATTATTTATGTTGGTCTTATGGTTGTAAATTGAGGCAGACCGGCTCAATGAAATGATTCGTCTTGTTGATCAGGCCCGACAGAATCATCTCCATTTATATATTGAGCGGTGCAGCTTCCATACTAATGAGCGTGCACAGATATTCAACAATAAGCAATCTTCCAGCTGACTTCGGCCAGCACAATAGCGGCCAGATCGTATCAAAGTGCTTAATTGAATTTGCATGACCACTTTTAGCAGTGCCAAGATATATTCCCAGCAACAGTTGCGAGCCGCTAAGAGTTGGCAAACAAAAACTTTCAAGAAACGCGAGCTATGCGCTGGGAGTTTCTCCCTGTTTGCGAAAACTTTGCATTGTTTTTTTTTCACTTGTTGTTGCTCGAACAAAAGCGTCCTACCTTAAAATGTGGCTTCATGAGGATGGTGGCCAGCTCGCGCATTTCTGCCTGAACATTGTTGTTGGTTGGAGTGTGGTGGACATGGTTCGAAACGCCTACATTTACTAATGTGTCCCTCAACCAGTCTGTTAGGTCCCTGCAACGCTGAACAGAGTCGCTTGGTGGTGCCCTTGAAGGACTGATCGCACGACTGGAGATGCGATCGTAAAGCTGCAAAAAAATATCGTTTTTAGTTTTGAAATTTCATCAAGATGGGTGCAAATTTTCACCTCAAGCAACGCATGGAGTTGTGTGTCTTCTAGGACTGAGGCTAAAAACGCCCTGTCTTGTTCGTCCGGCTCTTGAGGTGGCATGTCGTCAATTATGGTCACAAGTCGACCTTGCAGGCAGTGACTGTCGTCCAATGAGTCCAGGACCATTGAAACAGCTATAAAATTAAGATGGAAATGGTTAGTGAATTTTCTGATAAAAAGGTTATAAAAATATCAATTAAACTGAGAGGATTTTTTTATGGTTTTTACTTTTTAAACATTTATTTGGTAATTAATTAAACAGAAAAAAATTGTAAGTTTGAGTTTTCACTGACAAAAATTACCTCTTGATGTGGCCCTATGGTCCACAGCGAGTTCATCATCCCCCAGAAGTCCCCATTTTGACGAGGAAACGGCTGACAGGACAGCTCCTTTAAGTTTACGCCGAGCATTAAATCTTCTCATCTCATCCACAGTTCCCGATAAATGCATTTTTGGAGCACCACTTGCACGCTCCTGTAACAAGAACAAACAGACCTTCAAATCCACTCTTTTGATGTAAATGCAAAGATTTTTACCTTGATCCAAGGGTGAGAAAGGACCTGGTGGATGGTGAAGCGGTGAGCAGGGTCAGTCATCAGCATGCCTCGCACGAGTTCCTTTGCGCCTCCACTGACCACACTCCACTCGCCACCTTCCAGTCGCAGTTGGCCCCGAACAATGCTGTCCCCGAGCCGGTCTCGGGAACCAACAAAAGGAAGGGCGCCGCTGAGAAGCACATGGAGTAGCACGCCGAGGGCCCAAACGTCAGCCGGCTTGCCACTGGGGCGTCGTAGAACAACTTCTGGAGCCATAAAGTGCGGAGCGCCCATGCGACCTGCAAAGTCATGAGAAAGTGTATTTAAAATTAAGCTCCAATTTACATTCTGCATTAGTTTGCGCTATTGTTAATTTCGAGTCTTAATTTTTCTGTTTTCCTCTTGAATTACTTCAAAATTGCTCAATAATTTCAATCATTCAGCCAATGTAAAGATTTTAGATGATCAAGCATTTTGTGGAAATATATGGAAAAGGTTTTTGTACAACAGGGCTTTGACTCTTTCCAGGCGGATGGTGCATGTCAAAAGCACATTATAGGGAATCCAACTTAAAATTAGCTCTTTGTTCAGCTGCAATCATAGTGGTTTAACTTCAATTACTATCAGCATCTACAAATTGCACCAAATGCACCCATCGGTGAGTTTTCTCGTTGATTTCACCACAATCCAATATATATATATCATCAGCAGCAAACAACAGGAACCAAATTATCTGGCAAAAGACTGAGTGCTTTTATTGGATATCGGCGTTCTGTCAGGAAGGCACGGCCCAGTTTCAAAAAGAACCGCGCACCGTGAATAATTAAAGGTAATGCAGCGTGCATATTGACTGACAGTTTTTAGTCAATGCGAGCATGCTCAGTGGCAAAAAATCAACTTTTCACATCGAGCCAGCTTGACTTTGGCAATTCCCTGCTTGTACGAAAGAACACCCCATTATGCCCACGACAAAGGGCAACCAACTGATAAATAATGCAAGAGAGAACAATTATAATCATGCCACCGAATCACACACAAAAACCACCAGCAGGTACAGCTGACATGACAGTACATATGAAATAATAATAAAAAAGTGGTGCGGCGACGATGTTATATTGATTGCCGTAATTCAGCGGGTGGGCAGGACAGAATTAATACCTGGCTGCGGTTGCAATGTAGTCTGACCCTCGGCCAGCTGGACCGCAGAGCCGAAACCGCCCAATTTAACAGGTGCCGAGTTCTCCTTGCTGGCCAGCAGGATGGCGTGCGGTTTGATGTCTCGGTGCACGATATCATTGTCGTGGCAGTAGCGCAACGCCTCTGTGATTTGCCGCATGTAGTGGCTGCGAATCAACACAGTGGGGTTAAATTTCGTTGCGATTAATTACAAGTTAGGGGAGTTGCAGACAAAAAGTAAAACAAACAAGATTTTTCAAAGAAAACAAAATGCTTAAAAAGTGATGGACACACATAAAAGATTTTTTATTGAATTTATTAAAAAATTTAAAACGCTCATTTAAAAAAAGCTAAGAAATTTGAGGTAATGAGTGTCTATCATTGATTATTTTAATTAAAACTTTTTAATGCTCTAAATCATTTATAATTTGAAAATTGGAACTAATAATTTGGAGAAGATTGATTTGAAATCCAACTTTTAAATGGATGAAAAAATTACAGCAGTTTGAAGACCTTTTCAAATGTAAAATAAAAGTTAATTTGATTTGTTCTGTTTAAATGTATTTAATGTATGGTAAAACTTTTGAATTAGCATAAACTATAAAAAATATTTATTTAAACAGTTTTTAACCAAATTAAAATGAAAAAAGAGCAAATAATTCAAACTTAACAAATAAATTTAAATCGCATCAAAAATAATAAGTTATTAAAACTGTAATTACACTTTATATCCTTTAAAAAAAAATTAAACACGGTCTGGTTGAACCAACTCACCTGGAAACGGCTTCGCTGTAGACAAAACCGGCCATCGCCCGGCGAACAATTTCAAAGCACAGGTCGGAGCCATCCATGCTGCGGGCAGAATGAAAAATTCACGCGTTGGCTAATTGGCTGTGCTAACTAACTAAGTTCAGGCACTCACAATTCAAACACCATGTAGAGCATCCCCTCGGAGCTGTAAGTCTCAAGCAGCTCGACGATGTGAGGGTGTTTCAGCATGTGGCAGATGGTCGCCTCCCTCTTCAGGTCTGCGGAATTAGCGTCATGTGAGACAAGGAAACGAATAAATGGCGAGAAGCAAGTAAGTGTCTGTCAGCGTTACAATTGTGCAGGGGGAAGAGTGGCTCAACTTTGCTAATTTGCGCTCTTTGATAATTACATCTCTCATTTCGCAAGATATTTGCTTGCAGGCGCCAAATTGCAAGAAACTTGCTAATTTGTTTGTCTTTTCTTGCTAAACATTAAATGGGTTTCAAACTTGTCCTTTTCTATGAGAGATAGAGGGCGATAATTCATCGCTTATTAAATATATGAAACTTTCTAATAGGCATATCCAGAGATATCGACGCTTCATAAATTTACTCAACTGTTTCTGATGAATAATTTGAGCTTTAAAAAAAGATTTTTTTTTAACTGGTATTCATCTGAGAAATTCAAAGTTAATTTAATGTGGAAGTTGATATTTTATTTTCCAATCAATAATTGAAATACACAACACCATACGCCAATTCAAGATAGATTATTTAAACTTTAATTTGATAATTATAATATAATGATGTTTACAAGTAATATTATAATAAAATATTCATACATGGGTGCGCTCAACAATTTTGCGCTCGCGCTCGCGCTCGCGATCACTGGCAACAGTGCGCTCGCGCTCTGCGCTCGCGCTCAAGATTTTGAAAATGTTGCGCTCGCGCTCTGCGCTCGCGCTCAAATTTTTAAAAAGTCTTGCGCTCACGCGTTGCGCTCAAAAATATTTTTATCCGAAGAAAAATGCGACTTTTAAGACAATTTTTTAATATAACAAAAAATACATCGGCAATTGGAAATGATAAAGTTGAAGTTAAATCACCAAAATTGGGATCAGTTTTGAAGTTTTTGGTATAAAAACACTGTTTTTCATTACAATTTTTGATCAAATTCGGGAATTTTTACTTTTGGTTTGAGCGCAAAATGAGCGCAATTGAGCGCTGCGCTCAGCGACCAATGCGCTCGCGCTCTGCGCTCGCGCTCACGATTTTGAAAATCGTGCGATCGCGCTCTGCGCTCGCGCTCATGAGCGCAGAGCGCGAGCGCAGATCGCAGAGCGCAAATTGCGCTCTGCCCATGTATGAAAATATTGAACTCCATAATGGGGAAGACATAATTATTGTATAAATTGTTATATGATTGTCTTGTAAATTAGTCTATAAATAATAAATTAAGTTAAGTTATTAGTGCATAACAAATTTAAATAAGTATTAAGAATGGTTAAAATAATCAGAATATAAAGCGCAAAATATTCAGTAAAAATAAATTAAATATATGGTTAATTTATAAATTTACAAAATAAATAAATTTAGTAATAAATATATAATACCGAGTTTAAAAAATGCAATTATAAACTAAATATTTTCTGTTTCTATTCCTTGTCACTCTATTTGGGGAATGTAAAATTTCAAAAATTTGCAAACTGCTCGTGAGAGGCTGGTTAAAAATTCATCGAGCTGCGAACGCCTGCGAGCATGTAAGTGAAGGGGTTGCGAACTCACCGGCTGTGCTGAGGCCGGGGGTGGCGGTGAACCTGGCCACATCCACCACCTTGACGGCGAACTGCTGGCCCGTTTGTCTGTGCAGACATCTCCGCACCACGCTGTGAGGCCCTCTGAAACCGAGAAGCACTTTTAGCTTCATCTTTCTTTAAGTCATGAATTAATAATGCCGTCCCCCGAGCCCTTTAATAAATTCGGCCGCTGAATAAATACGCGCCAATTTTTCTTCTTTCGCTGTCCCGTCTCCATTATACACCGCCCCAATTACTTTGGGGAGGCCCTCCGCCGCCGAAATGATAATAATTCCGACTGCAATTCGCTCTCAGAAATGAAAAATTGGCCTCGCTCGAAGAAGGGTGGATTTGGCGCCAATTTCTCGCGCGCCTCCGGCCGTCATTGGAAATTTGATCAGCGTGCAGAAACCATCCATCACGGTGGAAATTTCGGCTCAGGCTAATTTTTCTACGCGTGTATGTATAAATATTCGAGAAGCTACTACGTTTCTTGACAGGGATGCTTTAACGGATTAGACGCGATGCGTTTTTTGGTAGGAATCGATCTGTCAGTCTTAATCCTCGCATTGAAAGTAAGAAGGATCACTCTGATCCCAAAGGAAAACTCGAAACAATGTTTTTAAATCTGTGAGAAATTGACGGCTCGTAAAGTGGCAATTATCGTTAGTATAAATTATGGATGAAATTTAACAAAGAAAAGCTTCAAAATCTACGACTTTGGCACTTATGACGACCATTGATAATAGATTTGTATCTTTTCAGAAAATGCTTGCTGCTCTTTGCTTGTTTTTTTTTTTTTTTTTTTTTTTTTTTTATTACTTTCTTTCAGGTGACTTGTGTTGAAATCTTGTAAAAATTATTTTTATTTCCCATCGTAATCCACATCATTCAAAGTATATATTTTTTGACTCCTCGTACATGCTACTTACTTTGAAATATTTTTAAAAAGCCTACAAATATGTTGAGGAATTATGTGGAACAAATAAAATCTGCCTTGAACCGGCCTGTATGGAGTTTTGATCCTTCAAACAGTATAAATTAGAATTTCATTTTATTTCCTTTCAAATTTAACTGAAAAAATATGCAATAAAAATGAAAGAAATCAAATAACCTGGGATTTTCAAAATAGGAAAATGCAACAAAAACTTAATATTTCATTTCATTTTTTTTACATACACAGAAATAATAGTTTTTTTATTTTTCGTTCCCTTTAAACATTGAATTTGAACAAACTTCCACAATAAAATTAAACTTATTAATTATTATACCTTTGGGAAAAATAGGGCAAATTTTAGAAGAAAAAGATGAAAAATATGAGATACATAAAAATTTAGCTGTATAAGTTTTTAAAGCGACTTTTTTCAAATAAACTACTTGGATGACACTATGTATTTTAAGGAATAATTGTTTAAAAAAATATTTGATTAAATGTTAAAAATGTCACAATAAATGAGTGTAATTTACTGATAGGTGAATTTTTAAGGTGATTTTATAACCTCAATGTCAACTAATAAAAGGCATTTTTGGCCTTCATTTATTATTAAATACAAATAAACTACTAAAGGGTTAAAATGGAAACCATTTATCCCATCTCTACGATCAACGATCAAATCCGCATCTGGCAGCAACTCAAAACTCAAATGCAGTTGCAGCGATCTAGTCCGCCAAGCAAACATATTATCTATAATCCAACTGTTCTCATCCCCATCTTTCTCCACGATACAAGTATCTCATTTCAAAAGTTTTTGTTGCGCTTTTAATGAAATGCACAATGGCGCGCGGCTTCATTGAGCCGGAACGCGAATCAGGAAGTTTTGCAGCCGCGAGCCGCGCCACCGACGCGAATATTAGATAGATGCAGCGGGGAGTAATTTTGCAAAGACCTTGGGGTCATGCAGGCAACGAGAGCGAGATGCAATTGAACTGCAGCGCGGATTTTTTTGCCAGCACCGACCCACATCCAGACAGCAGCAGCAATTACCGCTGTTTATTTTCTGAATATTTAAACACGAGACGAGCGCATCATCGGGGACTACTTTTTATAATCACTCCCGCCAAAAGCACGGCACGTGTGTTTTGATTCATCCACTTGCAAATAATAAAGAAGTGTTTGCGTTCAATTATCTTAATGGCATCAACACGAGATTTGGAAACAATTTGTCCCACTTTAAACAATGAGTGCCTGCAAAAAATTTAAAATGTATAACGTCAGAGCAGCACAAAAGAGCAAAAAGGGAAAGTCTAAAATTTTTCCCAAATAATCCCTTTGGAGCGAAAACGACAGAAAGTATAAAAAATATTTAAAATAAAATTTTCAATTGCTTTTTATCAAACGTAAATTTGTTTCAATAAGATATCCTAGAAAATTAATAGTAAAAATTTTACTAGGGACTTATTAACAATGATATGATATATTATAATATTTTACTTAATAATTTAGTAATAAATGTTGCAAACTGAAATAAATGACCTTCAAATAAAAATGAAAATTAAAAATCATTTTGTTTATTTTATTTAGAGCTCATAAAATTATCTACATCAATTTATATTAAATCTAACACCATGCAGTCCATGGAAATTTAAGTAGCTCTGAAAAAGTCAAATTTAGACATTCCCCTAACACACCAATTTTACAAAATATTTTAAATGCTCGTTTCATCATAGAGATTTTTAATTAATTTTAGTCAGTTACTATGGAAACCGGAAAAAAATAATTAAAAATTAAAATAAAAACAATTCACTAAAAGCTAGCTTGAAGAAAAAATAATAATGGATCCAGTTGAATGAAAATTAGATACTTTTGCAAGTTTTTTATTATTATTTAATAATTTGTAAAAAAGCTTATTGCAAACTTTTTTAAATGTAAATTATTAATAACCTTTTAAAATTATCAAGATTTTGATTTTTCAATTTTGTAATTTTCACACTAGATTTTTTTGTTCTAAACAATAACACGGCGTTTACTTGGTTTTATTTGAACTTGTGCCACCGTTGACAACCAAAATAATAGTGATTGCGCAATGTGCCATTTGCAGCGAACAATGTGTCACGCGATTGTTGATGCCGAGCAATGTGGAAAAAATCATTGAACCAGATGATGGCATTCACGGTGAATCTCGGCGCGCAAGATGTGCAGATCTAGTGAGAGAGAAAGAAAAACTCTTTCTCTCTCTGGCGCACTTTGCGTCCTGCCGAGAGTGTCTGCCTTTTCAATTTGTGTGTTATTTAATGACACAGCAGAATGCCGGCCAGTTCTTCCCGACTGCGATGTCATCAATCCACGCACGCACGGATAGACGAACGCCCGAATAAATGTATTTACACGCAATATATATGCCGAGGCAATGCATCTCTTGCTCAGTGAGAGGCCAGACCGCCGCTTGCAATTGAATTAACTGACCCTTTGTCCACAGACACGAGGTCAACTGGGGTCAGTTCCTCGTTAGCCCGTGAGACGCAACAAGAACGAAAACAAATACGGGCCCATCTAATTAGTAATTGAGTGGAGAGTTGAGGAATGGGACTAAAATTTGGCACTTAAGTGTTTTATTTGGAATCAATGAAACAAAAATTTGTTAAATGTGACTTTTTTTCACTTTTTTCCCGCAAATAAAATAAATATATCTATTCCATAGTTCTTGGCTCAACAAAAAATTGCACGGTCTAAATTAAAAGAAATTTCAGAGATTTAGTAATGCAACTAAAAAAAATTCACTATTTTCTATTTATCTTTACCTAATTCTTTGACTATTTTAAAAATTAACAAATAATTATTGAAACATAAGGATAAAGTATAATTTTATAAATTTATTTTAAGCATAATAAAAATTTGCAATTATTATATTTAGTTTCAAAGGAATGTTTATTGGCCTTGAATATTTATTGTATTCTACAAAAAAACTTCAAACAAGCAATTTGACAAACTTTGAAACTTATTTGTAAATTAATTTTTAAATTAATTTTAATTATTATTGCGAGTAATTAAAAATATTTCACTACACTTCAATTAATTTGTAATTTTTTCTATGAAATAAATGAACTCGTGTCTAACAAAAATATGCTTCCTGAGTTTTTGTCTGAGCTTTAATTTTCCTTTTATTAAGCTTTGTGTGATAAATTGTGACTGCCTTCTTCATTTTCCGGCTGGAAAAGCTCTCCAGCTGTCTGTCAATCAGCTTTTGTGTGAAAATAAAAGACAGAATTTTCTGTTTACAACAACTTTTGCGCTTAAAAGAAGCCACCCACGTGAAAAGCAGACTCGAGCAGACTAGCTTATCGAGCTGAACACAAGAAGTCAAAAGGCGAAATAACAATAAACATACAAAATATATCCACGTCGTTTTATTTCAGCAAAATTAATCCGAGACAAAAAAAAATAGCAAGAAAGGGCCACGATCCCTCTCAACCATGTGTGTGTTCGTGTGTTTTTCTCGCTACCGGGGAGATTAAAGTGCACATGAAAGCAATATTACATGCACAAGTCGTCCAATCAAGAGTTGAAAGCGGCGGCAGGTGCAAAGGGAGGACGAGAAAGAATCATACGGGTTCGAACCGGGCCAAACTGGCAATAACAATCAAGAGTTGGGCCCTACAGGAGCGATAAATGCGAAATGCGGTGAACTGAGCGTTCAAGGACTGAAAAAAATCCCCCTGGAGCGTCAGGTGAGTGGCCCGAGGGCCTCGACCTAGAAGGAGAGCAGAACCTAGGAGGGGCTCTCTCCGTCCTTGACCCCTGCTCGGTGCCGCGACCCCGCCGCGAACGCCCTTTCGCTTGGTCCACGATACTCACTTGCCGATGATCTCGCACAGCTCGTAGACGTCGTCGAAGAGCACGTCGTCCTCGGCCATGGTCATCCTCAGCTCATTCCTCGCCTCCACGGCTTTCTCTCTTTGTCCGCCTTCGACTTCTTCACAATTGCTCCTCTCTCGATCGACTCCTCGGCACGCCCTCCGACTGTCGCTTGTTTGCCAGGGCCAAACACCGACCCCCAAACGCCCCTTCGCGGCACCCGGTACCGATTTTCACGCCCCGAAATCGGTTTACATTTTGCGAAAATTGGTGCTCGCCGTCGTTCTTACGCTTGGCAGCTGATCCGAGCTGGACTTTAAACGCAGCAGCCAATCAGAGCCCCGCGTTAGATCACGTGACTTGCATCGACCAATGATCGACCGGAGTCGCTCTGACGTCACTTTTGTTTACCACCTTGCACCTTGCTCTGTGCATTTAGAGAAGTTTTGTGCGACTGTGCGAATTCGTGTTGAAACTTGTTCGCACGGAGAACCGATTGTTTAGTCGGCGCCGATTTTCAACCGGACGAGCACCACCGAGCACCATTTGCCGTCTTACGTCACGCAAAGCATTAGTTCCAGCTGCTTATGAAGGCCTTATCTAATCTGACAGAAATGAGTCTGCGGACTTTTTAGCGTTTAAAACTTAATCTCCTTTCCGGACTAAGCAGTCTCGTTAGGGCTTTCGCAGATGCATCCTGTCTGGATTATTGAAAGCTTGTTGGCAAAAAGCGGTCCTGCGCTGATCGACAAATCGACGCCTACCCTCGTACGGCACTAGTACGCAAGGGTTGCGCAGGGTTGATGGTAAATAATGCGCCTCGATATTTGCCATGATGTCGTGTTTCTTTTTCACCTGGCTGATTTATTTATTGATGTATTACGACTACGACGTACCCTCGTAAACTGGTGGAACGACCTTCGCCGTTGCATTTGCATTATTATTCGCTTTTTAATTTTTTATGCTCTACACCGTCGTCACAACTTAACAACGTGTTCCATTTTAAACATTCTTATCAGCCTCGTGTGTGTTATAAATTTTCCTTCCTTGTTTCATTGACGATTTTCCTGAATTAAAATTATTTTATTTTAGATTGACATGATAACACGATGAATGGACTCTGCTTCAAAAATTTTCTGGTGGCTGCACCGCTCCTCCTGTGGCTTCTGTTTGGAGTTGCAGCTCAAGATCTAGACACCGAATGGGCAGAAAACACCTGCCGAGCGCTCCAGCCACATGTCTGGAAGGGATGCGTTCCTGCGGGGAACACAACGGCCGGAACCTTCTCGAAGGTTGAAAGTGTCGTCGACCTTGGCACTTGCATTGACGAGTGCTGCAAAGCCTCCTCTTGCAACGTTGTATTTTTCTTCAAAAAGAGCTGTTTTCTGGTAACTTTTTTGATAACAATTATATTTTTATGGCCCCTAGTCATTAAATCGTAACAATTTTAGGTGGAGTGTGCGTCAGAGGAATTGTGCGCCCCGAGTTGCATGAAAATCGAGAAATACGCCCGAGCGCAAATGGTTTTAATTAGACCAGTATTAAACCCTGTAAACTACGATAATGAGTGAGTTTATCAACCTTGGCTTTTCCTGTTTACTGATTAGATTTGAAATTTTTACTCTAGGGAAATGATGGCTGATAGCTCAGTGCTCCTTCCGATCAAGAGCTGCGAAATTGGTGTTATTATCGACTGTTCCGCGAAAGAAGTGTGCATTCCGAGCCATCCTCGGGGAAGAGGAGGCACATGCCAGTGCAAAGAGGGTTGGGAAAGAAACCAGGGTGGTGATTGCGTCCAGCAAACGAGCACCGGCCTTCCACCTTTGGAAGGTCAACGTCCTTCGCCCGCTACAGAGAAGCACCTCTCCGTGTCTGTGATGTCGAAGGAAATCCGACTGCCTGTCAGTGAGGTGGACATTTCTGCCTACACTGTTCCGGCAGAAGGAACGGGGGAGCATTACAACTACAAGTGGGAATTGGTCAGTCAGCCTGCAGACTCGACGGGGAACATGCAAAATGCGGCTTCAAGCAAACTGAGCTTGACGCATTTGTCTGAAGGGTTGTACCAGTTCAGGGTCACCGTAACTGGAAGTGGAGCCCAGGGAGAGGCCTTTGCAAATGTGTCCGTCCTTCCTGGTAATTAATTAATCTAAAATTTCATTATCATCTAAATAAAATCTCTTTGATTTTGGAGCTATCTCTAGATAAAATCTAAAAAATATCAATGAAAGTAATTGCATTTAATGTGTCTTTTTGCCTAAAATGCAATATAATTTAAAATTTTTATTTTTATTTCAACCGAGAAATTATATTTTACTGGGTTTTTACTTTTGTGCAATTTATATCATATTTTACATATATTCAATTCATTAATTTATTCTCTCGCAACAAGTCATACAGAAATGGAAAGTCACATTGGGAGAGAATTGGCAGCCAGCTCTAGTAAACAACTTACTAAAACTCATAGGCCCAATTTTAAAGCAAAAGTGTTTCCAAATTAAACCTACTCGCCGAGCTGGAGCCATAAACGGGAATATTTTATCAAAGGGTCACATATTCTTTACATGCAATTTTAAACTCAGGAACCGTACAATTTTTTAACGCAGAAGGCAGAGAATTCCACTGATCCGCGATTCGGAAAGAAAAACTTATTATTATTATATTATTTCATTTTATATCAGCATTTTAATAAATATATTTAATTTTATTTATAATTGATATTGAATTTTTTAATTATTTTTTTCTAGAACAAAGAGAAAACCAAGCTCCAGTTGCTGTGATAACACCAGAAAGGCAGACCATAAAACTGCCTATATCCGAGGCGGTTCTTGATGCTTCGAGTTCCAAAGACGATGAAGAGGTGGTCAGCTACCACTGGGAGTTGACGCAAGGCCCTTTAGGCTACGCGCCAACCCTCACAGACAGCCCGACTCTGCAATTGCATAATTTATCTTTTCCTGGCAACTACAGCTTCAGGTACGTAATTAAATTTGAAGTGGTCTCCTCGTCATGGGACTTAAGACATAAAATTTGTACAGGCTGACCGTGAAAGACCGACACGGCGCCAGCAGCCAGGCACAGGCCCAAATAATCGTCATCAAAGAGACGGACTATCCCCCAGAGGCAAATGCCGGGCAAGATGTCATAATTTATTTGCCTCAAAATGCACTCACTCTCAACGGGAATCAGTCCAAGGACGACAGGGGCATTTCGTCTTGGGAGTGGACCAAAAATAGCACAAGCAAAGCGGTAGACATGCAGGTAGAAATAATTTTAATATTAAAATGAAACAAATTAAAATTATTATTGTTAACTCCAGGACACAAGAACTCCCTACCTAAAACTATCAGACTTGGAAGTAGGCGTTTACACTTTTGTTTTGAAAGTGACGGACACTGCGGGTCAAAGTTCGAGTGCTGAAGTTCATGTTTTTGTAAAGGAGCCTTTGCATTTACCTCCATCAGGTTGGCACCTTCTATGAAATTTAAATTATTCTTCTGATGGACTTTACTTTTAGCAAATGCTGGTGGAAACAAAACGATTGCTTTGCCTAAAAACTGGGTGATTTTGGGTTCCGAAGCTGAAAGGGAAGACCCACAGACGTCTTATAAGTGGATCCAAGAACAGGGTCCTCTGCCAGCAAAGTTCGACCCTCAGTCGGGCAACTCCAGCCGAGTGAATGCCACAGGTCTCACAAGAGGCATTTACCTGTACAGACTGGTCGTCACAGACATGTCCAGTGGCTCCTCTGTCAATGAAACTGTTTATGTCACCGTCTTACAAAGTAATTTTAATAGAAAATTGATTGAAATGGTATTTTAATTATTAAAATTTTCAGACCAAAATGATTCTCCTAAAGCAAACGCCGGTGGTGACTTGACTGTTTCTCTACCAATAAGCATTTTAAAATTAAACGGTTCTAAATCGTCCGATGACCTAGCGGTCACAAAGTGGAAGTGGTCAAGAGATGGCGCAAGTCTGGCCCAAGGCACCGTCCTTGACAAATCCGATTCCAGCCCTATCTTAATGGTGTCTATCCTGTGTACAAATTGCCACTCAGGTTTCTTATGATGTTTCTCATTTCAGTTAAGTGGAGTGGTTGCTGGTCAATACGTATTTAGGCTAAAGGTGGAAGATGAACAGGGTCTTTCCTCGGAAGACGTAGCTACAGTAATAGTGAATCCAGGTAATCATTGCAATGACTTTCCTTAAGGCCAATTAAACTAATTAAATCGTCTAGATCCTCAATTGATGTCTCTAGTCAGACTAACGCTGGGCGCTGCCTCTCGCACTTTAAGACAGGCTCAGCTTGAGAGCTTGTTGAAACAAATTACTCTGCTGTTGCACGGGGGTGCATCCATTATTGTTAGATCTGTGGACGAGGAGCAAAACACTGGCAGAGCCACCATTACATTCCTAGCAGGTTGTTAAATGTTTTAATTGCTGTGCCATTTTTGCCTAATAAAAGCATCCATTACTAGTGAGACAGGCATCTAGTGGAGTGAATGAGACACTTGGAGGTCCTCAAGTTGTGAAAACTCTCCGTGCCAAACTTCGGCAGGACCCCAGCTTGTTGGACCTTCCGGTTGCTATGATTGAGACTGTTGTGTGCCAGAATAACTGTTCCAACCATGGTACCTGTGATGAGGCGACCAGGCAGTGTCTTTGCGAGGCCTTCTGGATGCAAGATCTTTTTGCACAGTATTTCGGAGATGGCGATAGTAATTGTGGTATGTTTTTAATGTTTGGAAATCTTAATAGTTGGTATTAAATAGGAAAAATATATTCAGATTGGAGTATATTGTATGTGGTTGTGGCAGTAACTGCAATTCTTCTCGGCCTATGTGGTCTCTCATGGGCTGCTTTTTGTGCTTTGGCACCAGCCTTCAAATCAACGCCGCCGCCTTCAAAAAGGTCACAACGACGAAAGGCCTCGTATTCCCTGTTGGGAAGTCATGAAGAGGATGAAACTTCTTTGACTAAAAGTAAGCAAAACCTAATCTATTCATTTGCTCTTACATAATTTTAATAAACTTGAAGAATGTAATGTTGATTTAAAATTAAAGATTATTTTTGACATTTAAATTTTATTCATTTTTTTTCCAGTATCAAGAAGAATGAGTTTGTCAGAAGCGAGTGACACCGACTCTGATGTACTTTTCGAAACTCGAAGCAAAAGCAATGGATCTGCCAACGGCAAGTTGGGTCGTCGCAAGTGCTAGTCAATGAAAATCCAGTTGCAATTTTGTGAGTGTCCATCTGTTGTTGTTGTTTATTACTTTATAGGGACATAGTTGTGAGAAACGTGAGATACAAAAATGTAATAAAAAAGGAATAGTGCGCTTAGCTCAGCTCGGTCAGGGGGCCGAACAGGTACACAGCGGGGTTAGCCTCGTTGGCATCACCAATGAACTGTGCGTAGAGCTCCTGGTAGCGGGCAAGGTTGATTCCGCCAATCTTCTTGTCGTTGTCCTATAACACAATAAACAACAGCAATTAAATCTTTATTCTAGAAAAACTCGTCTCATTTCGCAATAATATTTTAAACTTAATTTTAATAAATGGGTAAACTTACATTAAGCAGCTTGTTGAATGCAGCGTCAAGCTCATCAACGTTGGTGAAGGCAGAGCGAGAAACAGCGTCAACGCGGTACTCCTCGGGTCCAATCACACCGTCGGCTGTAAAGCGAATTGACCGTTTACTAAAAAGCCGCAGGCCAGTTTTTGCAAGAGGTTTATTCAACAGAGATTCTGTTTTGTGTTTATTTGCGTCAGGATTTATGTGGTTAGCGCGGTCAAGAGCATTAGTCCATGCAGATTTTAGCACACAACATTTAACCTTACCGTTCAGCAGCTTCTTGCTAGAGGACTGGGTGGGACGGAAACACTATGATGGTGCCAATTTGCTTTCTAGCAAACTAGGGTTGACTTTTTTAATAAGATGATTTAGTTTCAGTGCTTTTTCATCTTTATCAGAGAAGATTAATTTTTTTTATAAATTTTTTATTTATCCGCCGCGAGGGCGTTTCTGTTCAAGTGTAGTTTATTTAAGGTGAATTGAAAACTGGCCAGCGCTCCAAATTTATAGGTAAGCGGCCGCCAAAGGTTCAAAATAATTCTTATTTAGCTTTTCAAGGGTTCTTAAAGAGTGCGATATCCTGACTGCCAGACTCACCATTAATGTCCAAGCTCTTGAAGGTGCTGTCAATAAAGACACGCATTGCAGGGGGGAACTCATTGTACTTCTTTCCAACGCAAGAGTTCTTGACGGCCAGTTTGAACTCGTCCACAGACACTTGGCCGTCCTTTTGCGTGTGACATGACATGAAAAAATCAACGAGACACAACGGGGGTTAGGCAACACAGACAAAAGAGAAAAGTCGTCAAAAAAAGTGAAAGTTGAGAAAGAGAGACGTGTAATGAGAGTGAGATAGAGTCTGGGGGGCTGACTATGTACCGTTGATGTCAATGGACTTGAAGTGGGAGTCGATGAACGCCTTCATGGCCTGGGGGAACTCGCCATAGGTCTTGCCAATGCAGGTCTTCTTGACGGCGCCCTTGAACTCGTCAACAGTGACGAGACCGTCCTGAAAGCCATTAAGTCAGCCCAAGCCCGCCTCAACATTTTTTGTCAAGTCTCTTCGGGTGTGGGTGAATTTTGCGTTTTTATTGGCAAACGTATTTTTCATTTTATTTAATTGGAATGTGACTTGTGAATGAGTTTCCTACAAGTGCCATAAATCTGACTAACCATTTTGGGCAAAATGATGTCGTGAAAAACATTAATTGGGCTCGCCAAAAGGAGAAGAATCTCTTCTGGAGAGTCCGAATGAGGTGGAAATTATTTGCAATTTGACTAATCTAATTAAAAAATTATAAGTTCGCTGCAGATAATGAAGCCATGCTGAGAAGCATATGAGTAAATTAATGATGATTAAATTATAAGTCTTAATTAACAACTAAAGCTCAGTCTGAAATTTGCATAAATTGAAATGGCCTCAACTTGAAAAAAAAAATTAATCCTTTCTCATTGTATGAGGGTTGAAGGTCGTCGGAAAGTACCTTGTTGAAGTCAGCGAGCTCAGCAATCTCGGACCACAGGTTCTGCATGATCTTCTGGTTGTCAGCGAAGCGCTGGGCGGAGTACTCGCCGCGGGCCTCAAGGATGGTAGCGCGGAGGGCTAGGCATTCGAAGTCGTTCTTGTCCAAGTATCCATTGTTGTCAATGTCTATTGGGAGCAGAGAGAGAAAAAATAAAAGTCAAGTCGTGCGGAATGACAGGTCCCCGAGGGAGCAAGGGTGGAAAAAATTCATCGCGAAAGAAAGGAATAAAAGAGAAACAAATGTTTGACTTGCGGAGGGTAGGAAGTTTTTTTTCATCATCTCATCCTCGCCAAATGTCAAAAGGCGCGCAGAGTTTAATAATCATGTATGGGCGGCGTTCAACAATTTCGCAGCAGCACCCCTCGCATTTTAGACTAAACCAGGTGCGCGAGCAAATGTCAGGGTTGAAGCGAGCGTAGGCGGCTCAAAGGCAGGTACACGCTCGGGTGCTGCGAAATTATTCGGCCCGGGGTCGGCCGGGCTCAGGCTAAAAGAATCCTGAGGAATGTGTGCGAATCTGATGATGCGGGAGGTCGTGGTGCGCGCGGCGCCTATTTTTGGCCCGCAGGTCATGACTCACCATACATGTAGCGGACGACGAACTTGACGCGGTTATCCCAGGAGTACGCCATGGCTGCTGTGGTCTCGAGTCTGAAACAACAAGTAGAAATAGAATTATATTCCCTCGGTCCTTTCTTTCTGTCGCTAAATCAGCAGGTTTTTTTATCCGCACTCGAACCACTTTTCGCCGCCGGCCGGAGAGCGCAACGCTCGGCTCGCGAATGTCAGCTATGCGAGAATGCCTTGCGGCGAGAAAATCCTGCGCTGGCATCCCGGCCAGGCGTAGCAAAAGGGTTGTTGTTTGCTCACCGCGTAATTAAAAGGAGAAATCGCGTGGAATCCAATAAAATCAGGAGCTGCCAGACTTTTCCGCGGCTCACCGCACGCCCGCCGTAAAAATTTCAAAGCCCGTGTTTCAAGTGAGCCGTAAAGCAAAACAACAAAGGCTGAGTTTTCTTTGAAAACTTGTTAACATATAAATATTATTCCTCTCCTTTAAACATCGACGTTTTTTTTTTTTTTTTTTTTTAATTTTAATTAATGTATCTTTTTTAACTCTGTTGAATATTTTTATCAACAAGAAAGATCGCCACTGCCAAGAAAGAGAAGCAAAAGTTGTCCTTGAAAAATGCCAGGCTCGTTAAATTTTATCGCACTGTATCGCACAAAAGCCCCTTTAGTGCAGTTGCTTTTGGCAAGCTCGGATTTCGTTTCAGGAATCGGGCGGAAACTTTTGCCTTTCATCGGCGGCGTTAATTAATTGAAACTGCGGGAGTGCTCCGCTTGCTTTGGAAACCGTAGGAAAAAATCCACCTTGCGCATATTTTATGAGGAATTAGAATTTGCCCGGGGAACCAAGGGCTGGAGATGTGCTCCTGGGAGCGCCTTATTCTCAAAAGCGTAGGCAACCCGCACGTCCTACAAGACACACCGGTCGCCTAACGCGCGTTCTGTACAGGAGAGCATAAAATGTAAACGACAGACAGCCAGGCTCTTTGCACGCGCGGCTTAGGCTTAATTTAATTACACGGGTTAATGGATGCTGTTTCCTTGCGAAGGAGCAAGAACAAGCCTTTTGCAAAGTTAACCTCCAGAACGGAAGCGGCTTTGATTTTGACCTGTGCCCTTTTGACCCTTCAACTGCTGCGCACATATCCAACTTTTGTGACAGCTTGTCTCTCTCTCTGTTTGCCCTTTCAATTGAAATCAAAGTTTGCTTGCGGAGCATTGTTTGTTTGTTCGGGCTTGGAATTATAAACCGGAGATTAGATTATAATATTCAGGATTTTGCTTAATCCCGCTAGTTATTACAATATTGATTTTGTCTTTTCCAGAGCGCGGCTACTGTTTGCAATTTATTGCTAGTTCCGGTTTCCGGCAAACTGGCCGGGAGATTAATTTTTAATTAAGGTTGTTTCCAGTTCTGAGCCCCTGGTATTTTAATTTGCTTCTCATAGGTTAATTTAAAATTCAATTTTATTTAATCGAATCTTGACTAGACTAGAGTTTTTCGCCTATTTGAATCTCTGGCTTGAATCCCAAGGTGCTATTCTTAGAACAACTACTGTTGGTTTCTTTTAATTTAATACTATTTTTATTTTATTTTTAAAATATATAAATTACGATTCAAAATTTGAAACATAATCAATTGTAAAGTGTTCATTGCATTGTAATCTAAACTTAAATATTTACAATTAAAATCTGTTGGCCTATCTTGAAAGGCTTCATATGCTGTTTGATTTTTAAGTAAATAAGTCGCTTCCACTATCACAATTGAAAGAAACTTTCAGTTTCAGAATCAATTAATGAAACCTCTAAAAGAAAAAAATCTTATCCGCCATCAAAATTCAAGTCAAAATCCAAAAGTCCCAGAGGCACCCCCTACTCAAGTGGACAATTAAAGTTGGGCTTCGAGTACAATTTAGACTTGCCGGCCTGTGTCTGTATGTCAATCGAAAAGTTTCAAAGTCCCGGCCAGAGAGAGTGAAAGACCAACAAGTAGTATATGTTGGGGAGCTGCTCCTACCTGTAGAGCTGCACTGATGAGCGGCTAAGCACGACTGACAGTCAGAGTGAGCCGAGAGGTACTCGTAGGCCCGGTCTAGTAACCTCCCCTCCGTGACCTCACCCCTCTGGTGCCACCGGTGCCAAAACACCTGGCTGGGTAATTGCGATCGCAGCAGCTCCGTCCCACCACCACCCCCCTACTGATACACAATTAATATCAATCGGCCCCTCTTCCGCCGCCCTCCGCAGCCGTCCCGATATGTGCGAATTTTGTTTAATTCTCTGCTTCTTCTGTCAGCGCGCACGCTATTCATAGCCTTTCCGCACAACCGCCATTTTCCGCCAGGAATTAATTTATAGAGAGAGAGAGACACACACACACACTAGCAAAAAAGATCACAACGGCTTTTTCATCTGGCGCGCGCACCATATTAATTATTGACGACCGCATTATGTGTAGAGGAGGAAGCACCTTGTTTCGCTCTTTGCTTTGTGGCCGGTCGCGAAACTCGGGCTTTTCCTGCCCGCTCGGCCAGCCGTTTTCTTTGCTTGCCAAATTGCCGTTGCTTGTTTATTAATTTGCCTCTCGACGTGTACTCGCATTTTTTGTCAACATTCTCCAGCCCTGCGACCCTCGCTTTTTTATTTTCTCCTTTCTGCTTGAATAATTTAGACCGAAGAGAGAGACTACCAAGAAAGGCAGTCGAGAGAAAGAGAGGACAATTTGCCCCGCTGACAGAAAGAGGAGATCAAATTTCGTTGCGCTGTTTGCTCTGGAGGCATTTTTCTCCCTTCTGACACACAAGACGCGCGGATGGAAATTGCATATATTTGTTTTTTTTCCTGGAATCCGCCTCTCTCATTAGTCGTGAGTGGAGGTACAGGAAAGGAAATTCGCGCCGGTTAATACGTACACGCCAAGCTGTAAAAGTAAGCCCTTGGAACTTGCAATTACTCTCTCGCAGCGCAACGCGCGCGCGTTACAATAATAAAATTAAACGCTGGCTCGGAGCGCGTTACGACTTATTTTGATAATTAAATTGAAGCACTTGCGAGCTGCAAAAAAGGCCGCGCTTTTAATTTACGCTGCACTTGAGAGAGACGTTTCATTTCCTTTGAAGGGAACATTGGAAATCTAGGATTAATTTTTTAAATCAATCTACAGCTAAAATTTATCTTAAACATATTTTTTTTAAGTGCTCTTACTTACTTAGTTTATTAAATTATAAAAACAAATAATTTTTGTGTTATTAAAAGGCAACATACGGATGTTAGAAAATGCGAATGTATTAGAATTTTTTGATAAATTAAAGTCATGAACCTATTCTATTTTGGCAAATTTAGATAAAATAAAATTTGCAGATTTTCCTTTGCATAAAAAATTTTGTAAACATTTTTAAACTTAAAAATTTTTGTTGCTAAAAGAATAAAAATTCAAATTGACAATTGACTACAATATAAATTTATTTTGAGAATGATTTCGATTTCAATTTTCATGGTATAAAAAAATTATAGAAAACTAATTGTCAATGTTCCCTTGTTAGCGGCATTCAATTCTTTTAAATTTGACTAAAACGATATCAAAGAAAACGAGATTCATAAAAAATAGGGAGCTTTTTTATGAGACGTTTTGTTCAACTCGGTATTTAAAGTTTGGTGCTTCCGCTGTGACTCAATTGGACAGTAATTTAGCACTGTGTGGCTGCTGCCTGGTGTTATTTATAATTGAACCACGCTTTTATTAGTTTCGGCCAAATATCACACACAAGGAGCGATTACTTTTTATTGCCGACGCTGAATATAGATTTGGATCAAGTTCACGTAGAGTTGACTAAAGTGCGTGACTCCAACTTTACAATTTATAAAAAGACAATTTACAGGAAATAGCGCGACGACTCGATTTACACATGTCCTTTAACGGCGGCGCACTTCTCGCCGAAGGTGAAATTAATAGCACAGGTTGGACAATTCAATTGTGATGCGTGGAGACACTTAACTAAATAATAGTGTGCCGTGTTTTGTGATCTATTTTCTGCTTTTCCCAGTAATTTCGAGTTATTTTATACAGAGATAGCATCACAAGTGGCAGACAACAGGAGAGTTTTTAGGCTGCTGACTAATTGCTCTGTTGGACGACCCCTTTCTCTCGCGCGGGCACACACGGACCATTAATATTTCGGCCGGCATAATTATAGTCTTTACAAATTATCTTGCCGATCGATGATAGGCCAAATTAAAACAAATGACAGTTTTATATCAAGTCAAAAATCATAATATTATGCATCACTGCTTTTAATAACAAGAGAAATAAAACATTATGAAATTAGTTTAAAGTTTCTATACTTTTGCTCTTCTCATTTGATGTCGGGTGTTTTAGCAGACCTCTGCTAGTTGTGATACCCTTTCTACTCATTTTTCCAATTAAAATTTGTATTTTTACTCGAGTAGAAAAAAAATATTAATGATAATAAGAAACAAAAATAATGGAAAAAACGCATTGCATACCGAAATAAGGAACAACAGTTTCAAGCGGATTAATATTTTATTTTTTAAGAATTAAGCTTAAAAAAATAATAAAATTAAAACAAGACATCAACAACATTTTTATACATATTTATTTATTTTTATAAAGGCGGTGTAATTATTTATTTCTTTAAAATTTTACTAGAATTAATTATTCTATATTAATTTATACATTGATATTTATATTATTGATGAGAGCTAAGGATGATCAAAATCTGACCTTCCCCTACCCCTACCTAATCCATATCCTTTCTTAATCTTTTCTCTCTTTTTTAGTTTTCAGCTTTGTTGTCATCATCGCGTGGACCAAAAATAAGGATATGCCAGCAAAAAATGATGATTTTTTAAATAAAGTTGAACCCAAAAATAATAATAATAACAAAAAAAAAATAAATTGGGTGGTGCCTTCTGTACCACAAATAAAGGGCACAAGCCGACAAGACTTTGTCTTGGCCTGACCCTAAAAAAGAAAAAATAATAATAATAATAATAATAACTTAATTTTTGTGTGAATAACATGCGAATGAAGACAATTTTAGAACTTCAACCTGCTTAAAACATAATTATATTTTAGAGTATAAATAAAAAAATGAGCTACATATTTATTTAAAAATTAAATTTTTAATATACGCAGGGTTGAATAAAATTGTTTATTCTTCACAAATGAAGTAAAAAATGTAAGTGAAAAAAATATTATAAAATGCAATACTTTTTAGAAACTAATAAAAAATTACTTATTATTTTAACTACGGTGGTAGTTTACATATTAATTTCTTTCAGTTATTATATATAAATATTTTTTTTAATTACACTATACTTTTTTATTGTGTATAGGTAAAATTTAAATTAGGGCTTAAAATAGAAAACTAATATTTCATATTAAGTAAAGGGATATTTATTGAATATGACTTGCCTCGTTTCATGTCTTGAAATTGTAATAAAAATATTCTTGTATTGTACACACGTATATTACTTGTCTTGATCAAAAATAAATAATAATATATAATACTTAATTTTTTTTACAACTTTTCCATGGAAGATTACTTTTTTTAATGTCACAATAATTAATCAGGTTTTAAAACGATTCTATCAAAAAGGGTTGGCTTACTAAAATTCGCCTAGTTCCTCAAACTAGTTCCAAGAAAAACACTCAAAATTTCGAGAAAACTTGTCTAAAATTAACATCTGGGCAGGAGCCAGGCAGTAAATTAAAAGGCGACAATCGGCCCGACGCCCGTGTATAACCGAGCCGTTTAATTTTTTCTCAATCGCCGCGGCCGCAGCAGACACGACAACGATAATCCTGGGCCGCGCACACACCGATAAATAAATATATATTTCATCACGCGGACAGTCCCGAGAGTATAATTGGAGCGGCTTGTGTTCTAATTTGTAAGAGAGAAAGAGGAGCAATTTGCTGCACTACTTGAAGCGCCATTGGCTTGCACGCTGCAGCGACAAACAGCACACAATTATTCATTATGTAGTATGCGAATTATTTTAATGATGCCCGGGGAGGCCACGTGTTTAATTCGAGAGGAGCTTTCAGCGCGGGCCCGTCTTTTGCCGTCTCTCTTTCTCACACACTTACAATAAAGCGCCCAACACAAAGTGCTAACTTTAGCCCAAGCTCTCCCTTTCGTTCATCCCTAAATAATTAAAAGTGTCGCAGCTATCAAAAAACACGCGGCGTGGTAGTTGCAATTCAGCGCCTCTCCGCTCTTGCGTCCATAACCTTGATTTCTAAATTTGTGTCCGACCCATTCCAAGGGCGGTGGTAATTTAATCAAAAAGATATCCTCGGACGCTATTTTTTGCCAATGGAAAAGTTTTGCAACAAGTGATGATTTTTTGGCCACCGCTGAATGGGAGTTAATTCGAGCGCTGGCAAATCTGCTTTGGATTAAAAAGAGATTATTTCGCCGCTGCTTACCCAGAGTACTGAAACCAAAAACATGCGGTGTTTGTTTCCACGCAAACTCTGTATTTTTTAATCCTATACGCGATCATTCACATGTGAAGAATGTTTTACAACTTATTCCAACGTTTTTGATCTGCTTAACTTTTTTTATTTCTTTATTAATGTAACGGTTTTCGTCTTAATGAACTCCATATTTCTCCTATAATCCACAACCTTGTGCTACTGCACACTACGCTATTACACCCTTAAAGCAACTAATCTGCTGAATATCATTTTAATCATCGCAAAAAGTGCGTCGGAAAAAAATTCTTTGCATTTTTGTAGGTGCACGAAAAGGTGACCTTGGCCTTTGAACTTTATATAACCTAGGTCAATAATGCAATGAGTTTTTCAAAATTTTCACGTATGAGCCCCTTTAAAGCAGACGATTTTAAGAATTTTCCCCACGATATTTCTGAACTACTTACTTCAACATTTAACAAAATATTAAATGTGACTATTTAACAATTCCTTACAAATTAAACATATTTAATTATCATTAAGAAAGCTGAAGTTTTGTTCAGATGTGCCATTATTTTACAACAAATAATTTAAGAAAATTTTGTTTTTACTCAATAGTTCCATGCATTAAAATCAAATGTTTCTTAATGACTAATTTAAATGAAA